TGTGTGTGTGTGTGTGTGTGTGTGTGTGTGTGTGTGTGTGTGTGTTTGTGTGAGGTGAGTTTATCCAGTAGCACGGACCGTCTACCCTCAAGGACAATACACACAGATTCCCCTCCAACAAGCCTCACGCTGCACCATCTGTGCTCCATCTCAGTCAGAATCAGGCTGTTCAGAAAGTGTGCGCGCATTATATTAAAATGCAATCTGTCCTCCTGCAGCCCTACAGCAGTGTGCCCACAGTTACACCGTGCTGTAATTTTAAGCAGGATAGAGTCATTCTGTTTGATTGTTTTCCACACACACTGCACTGATTAGCATGCAAAGGGGTCATGGGATATTGAATAATCTCACTGGTTTTTAATTTTAGTTGTTATACACGCCAGAGGCGAGTTCAAAGCACATTTGGGTTGCACACATTCCCTTGGTTGTGCATGAAACATGACAATGAAACAGTTTCCCAGAGTTTATGTGTTCCTACTGATTTTAAGAGTGCTTAGTTCATTTGATGTGGTTATAATATTGCAAAACATATTCAGATGGTGGGGTACAAACTGAAAGTCTGGGATTCAAAGTCTTATTTAAACCTGTAAGGAAACAGGAAGTCTTAGGATTTTTAATGTCAAATTTGTGATGTGAAAAATTGTGTAAAAAGTAATAATTGTTCATGTTGTGATATTCTCATGTTAACTTTTTTAAATAAAAGTTTGACTCAAATTGTTATACTTATACTATTATCAGACTGAAAGAATTGGGAATTCTTATGTTAAATTAGAAAATTGCTAAATAGAAACATTCCACTAATATCAGATATTGTACAAACGTCATATTTGAAAAATATGCACCAAGTTTCAGTAGGCCTATCTACTAAAATATATACATCAGTGAAGGGGAGTGAAGCGGAGCCAATGCTTGTCCATTTTTAACCTCTGAAGCATGTTTATATTTAATGTGAGATTATAGGACTTACTTTATTTCTGCTGGGAATAACAAGTTTCGAAGAGAAGAATCATCAGTAAAACAATGCAGTGCAGCACAGCGCTCAGTGGGATGCTTACTGAAGTTGTTTGAATGACCTACATTACACAGAAAGGCTTCTTTACCTGCAGTGTTGTACATAATGAAGTACACGCCAGTTCCTCCTAAACACAACAACACTTTGTTTGGAATATATATACAGTATGTATTGTCAAAACATTGATGGAAATGTCACTGATCACGATTTAGTGTCAATGTCAAACTACGATCATATCTGTGGCTACAGTGCATTCTTAGTGAATTCCCTCCTGAGTGTATTTTATGTACACTGCCAATCAGAAGTTTGGTGCCAATCAAAAGTTGGTGGGCTCTGCCTCTGGCTCAGGTACAGGAGTTGGTCCACAAGGTGGAGAGAGACTGCTGCTAGATCCATAGGTATCTGTGGGTTGGTTATTCTTTATTATATAACTCCCATCCAGGTACTGACCAGCTTAACCCTGCTTAGCTTCAGTGGGCAACCAGTTTTGTCATACACACTATTACACTATTACTACCTTCAGAACCATTAAAAACCAATGAGAACCATATTCCAAAATTTTGACTGGCAGTGTATGTACTGGATATAAAGGCAAAATATAACCTACTGTCACTCTAGATGTAATGTCTTCATGTCTAGTCGTGTTTCTCTCTACAAGTTTCTCTCTGTGTCTCTGTGTAGCGTGTCAGTGTCACACTAACGGATCGCTCTCAGAGGTATGCCATCAGGAGACCGGACAGTGCCAGTGTCGACAACATGTTGTTGGACGTCAGTGTGACGAGTGCATGGTGAGTATACAGCACACCACACCAAATGCAGTCATTTCTGTCATTGGGTTAGATTGACATTACTGTATGCATAACACATTCCCTATTCATTGCGTCAGTGTGAGTAATTTTCTTATATATTTTTTATATTTTCTTATTTTTGTCTCTGCCTCTTCATAAACCCGTCTATGTTTAGCCGAATTGTTGGTGGGACAGTGAAGCTCAGTTGTGTAGGCCGTGTCAGTGCAGCGCTCGGGGCTCTGTGTCCCAGCGCTGTGACTCTGAGGGCAGGTGCATCTGTCGGGCCGGATACGTGGGCCGCAGGTGTGACCTCATGCGCCCGCCTCACTCTCGCAGGGAGACCCGGCGACCCGTCCAACAGGTTCCCATCCAACACATCCAGAGATGGGAAAGCAGAGGGGGCTGCCCTCGAGGGGCTTACCGCCCCGGCACAGGGGTAAACGCACGGCATGATGGGAGCACAGGATCTGTGTGTGTGTGTGTGTGTGTGTGTGTGTGTGTGACTTCCTTTGACTCATCTAATATCAGTGTAAGAGTGTTCAAAATAACACACATTATACACATAACTTTTTTTTCCTTTTTACTGCTGATCAGATCAGCTGTTTTTCAATTTTGCCTGTTTTATTCAGATTAACTTTAACATTGATGCAGTTTACTCCTGTTTACAATTTACCAGCCAGGGCTATTATCGTTCACTAAAACTATTCTATTAAAAAATATGATCTATTATCTATTAAAATATTTGAATTGAAATTAAGCTAAAATAAAATGTCAATAGTATATGCAAAACTTTATATGAAAATTAGAAAGGTTGCCTTGGCAACTAACCGAAAAACACTATTTTAGTTGCTGGAAATAAATTGTACTATCTGGACATAAATAAAAACTACAACTGAAATGGAAATCAATTAAAAATAAATAGTAATATTTAAAAAAATAAATAAATAAAAAAGACCAATACATAACAAAATGACTAAAAATTTAACTAAAATTAAAATGAAAGCTGAAAATATATAAGCTAATTTAAAATATTAATAAAAACTATAATAGTATATGCATAGCTCCTTATTGCAATTTTTAGATTTGTTCCTTTGCAAAGTTGTGTTTATATTTTATTTCTGTTATATAAAATATATTCCCTGTAATGTAACATATTAATGTATATCATAATGTATGATGCTGCTTTTCATGGTAGGTTTTTGGTAACAATAATGCAGTACTGAGGGCATCATGCATCACTTCAAGATCAGCATTATGCATTATACTGTAGGTCATCACATGCATACTGAAAACAAATATTTAGAATTATTACACTTGGTTTTTCTCACTACCTGTAAATACACGTTTTTGCACAAAACCTGTGTGAACATTTTCATGCACAAACTACTCAACAAGTTCACACTTTCATTCTAAATGTAGAATGTGCTTGAATTCTGCTGGCCTTAGAAACATGGGAATCGAAGTGTTTTTTTTTATAGATATGATTATTATTAGAAAGTGAGTTGCTAAGTGTGAGTTACAATATGTCTTTCTTATTTCAAAGCAACAACATGAGCATGTCAGTGAATTGAAATTAAGCTAAAATAAAATGTCAATAGTATATGCAAAACTTTATATGAAAATTAGAAAGGTTGCCTTGGCAACTAACCGAAAAACACTATTTTAGTTGCTGGAAATAAATTGTACTATCTGGACATAAATAAAAACTACAACTGAAATGGAAATCAATTAAAAATAAATAGTAATATTTAAAAAAATAAATAAATAAAAAAGACCAATACATAACAAAATGACTAAAAATTTAACTAAAATTAAAATGAAAGCTGAAAATATATAAGCTAATTTAAAATATTAATAAAAACTATAATAGTATATGCATAGCTCCTTATTGCAATTTTTAGATTTGTTCCTTTGCAAAGTTGTGTTTATATTTTATTTCTGTTATATAAAATATATTCCCTGTAATGTAACATCATGTGTTCATGTTAATGTATATCATAATGTATGATGCTGCTTTTCATGGTAGGTTTTTGGTAACAATAATGCAGTACTGAGGGCATCATGCATCACTTCAAGATCAGCATTATGCATTATACTGTAGGTCATCACATGCATACTGAAAACAAATATTTAGAATTATTACACTTGGTTTTTCTCACTACCTGTAAATACACGTTTTTGCACAAAACCTGTGTGAACATTTTCATGCACAAACTACTCAACAAGTTCACACTTTCATTCTAAATGTAGAATGTGCTTGAATTCTGCTGGCCTTAGAAACATGGGAATCGAAGTGTTTTTTTTTTATAGATATGATTATTATTAGAAAGTGAGTTGCTAAGTGTGAGTTACAATATGTCTTTCTTATTTCACAGCAACAACATGAGCATGTCAGAACTCGATCTGGGCTTCTTCATAAAGATGTTTATTGTGTTTCATCTGGTTTCGATAATGACACGTTTGGCTTTAAAGGGCTCCTGCATTGCATTCATAATGTTTCTAATGTTCCTGGAGGTGCTCTTATAATGTTGGTTTGATTTTTACATCAAAAGCAGTCATAAATTGGAAAATAAATGGTTTTGGCGCTCTGATTTAAACAATCAGTTTAAGGCTTGTGTCTCCTTTCAGATTAAATACCCACTGCTATGACTGGGTAACTTCTATGCATGTGGAATAACTGTTATGAATAAGAGTTCAATACCAACTTACGGTATGTTTTTATAGTGCAGTGATCTCTTACATGTCAAAAGATCAGGGAAATTTTGATTTCTTAATTTATTCCTTTAACAGAAGATCAAGGACAAATCCACGTGCAATTGTGTTTGTGCAGAGGTTTTGCATGAGAAACTTTTCTGCATGCTTAAGTACACTTGTGTACAGTTATTAATGAAAGAGACCAAAACAAGTATACACACTCTAAAAAATGCTGGGTTGTTTTAACCCAACTTTGGGTCAAATATGGACTAACCTAACTTTTGGGTTAAAAATGTAATTGAAAAATTTAACCCAACAGTTGGGTTAGTCCATATTTGACCCAAAGTTGGGTTAAAACAACCCAGCATTTTTTTGAGTGCATAATTCAAAGAGACATCCTTTGGTTTTAAGACGGATGTAACATAATGTGCACATTCTGCATTGGTTTTTAATTATACATTTACATGTAGCATTAGTTAAGTAGCACTTAAGGTGGAAACGTGCTATACAAATAATCTCATGTAACTTTCTCATTCTTCATGAATCCAGTGTTTTGTGAGCTTGGTGTTTATCGCATTATATAAGTCAGCGTGTTTAATATAATAAAAAATATGCAAATTATATTCCAAAAAGTACACTCAAAAAAATACTGGGTTGTTTCAACCCAACTTTGGGTCAAATATGGACTAACCCAACCGTTGGGTTAAATTTTTAAATTACATTTTTAACCCAAAAGTTAGGTTAGTCCATATTTGACCCAAAGTTGGGTTAAAACAACCCAGCATTTTTTTGAGTGCATAATTCAAAGAGACATCCTTTGGTTTTAAGACGGATGTAACATAATGTGCACATTCTGCATTGGTTTTTAATTATACATTTACATGTAGCATTAGTTAAGTAGCACTTAAGAGAGTCAGTTAATCTGTCATACTCAGAAAGCACATGGCAGTGTTAAATGCTGTGATTTTTATGTTTTAGTCTTTTCTTAGTCTTTAAAAAGCACCAGACATGGTTATGAGTTCTCTTGGAGGAGAGTTTTGTTACTTTAGCTCAGAGCTTTGCATGCTGTGTGTGTGTGTGTGTGTGTGTGTGTGTGTGTGTGTGTGTGTGTGTGTGTGTG